GATAAATTATACCTCCCTTCCCTCTCCCACACCAAAAACTATAAAAATCTGAACGCCCAGGACCTCAGAATTCAACCTTATTTGGACATAGGGTCCTTGCAAACGGAATTAGTTAAGATGAGGTCCCACTGGAGGGTGCCCCTGATCCAATATGACTGTGTCCTTATGAGTCTGGTGAACACACAGACACCACGTGAAGACAGAGGACTAGGGTGACACACTCACAAGCCCAGCAACACCAAAGATTGCCAAAACACAAGAAGCTGGGCAAGGCAAGGAAGGATTCCCTAAGCTTTCAGAGAGGGTGTGGGCACTTGACTTCAGACTCCTGGCCTCCTGAGCTGTAAGACAACACATTTCTGTTTTTTAAAGCCACCCAGTGTGTGGGCCTTGAAGACAGCCCTAGGAAACGAACATGCCTCCCAGCCTGCAAAAGGGAAGGGGCCTGCCTCTGGTCCAGACTGATGCAAGGCTGCCTGCCCCAACAGAGCATTGCCTTATCAGGGGGTAGGCTGAGGGAGCAGCCATCCCTCTGGACAAACACGCAGGGGCCCCGGGGGCGCCGCACGCAGCACTTACTGGGGCCAGAATCTAATCCCAGCTCTCCTTCCATTGAGTCGCGAGGGCCCCACGGGTACGGCTGCTCCTCCTGCTTGATCCATGACAAAATGTCATGTGCTGAGATCAGAGACTCTGTTTGTGGAAAGAAGGCAGTCTTAGCTTCTGTTCATTTCTGCTGAGCATCCCATCAAAGGCTCAAAAACCATCACATGCAAAGGCTGCAGCTCCAGCTCTCGGGGCAAGTGGCAGTTTTGGTATCAGTTTCATTTACTGGCAGTCCCCCCTCCTGCCTTCGTAAACGGGATATCACTGTGCTCACTACATTTCCCGGTGGTCAGGGAGGAGGAGGCTTGTCCCAAAGTGTGTGTGGCGGCAGAGCCAGGATTAGAACCCAGGTCTCCTGACTATGCCCACTGAGCCCCAGAACAGCCTGTAGGTCCAGGACAAGCCAGAGGGCAGCCTGGTCTCTGAAGGCCCACAGGACCGAGGGATGAGAGGTGGAACTTAAAGATCAGCGATGGGGGAAACCGTGAGCAAAGGTCGTCATAAGAACTGCACTCTATCAGGAAGGCTTGGCTTTCCCTTCTGCCCTGGAGCCTCTCAACCTCCCCATTGTAAAGCTGTAGAGTTGGTCTTCTCTTCCTGGTATGCAGGGGTAGGGTCAAACTTTGGGGTCATAATTACCAAATGAGATGACACTGGAGTTCTCCAGGTCTGCAAGCACATGTCAACACACACACACACACACACACACACACAGGCCCAAGGCAGGTAGGGCGTCCCAATTATTATTTTATGTTTTCCTTTATGCCTAGACCCTCCCCAGAAGTTTTCCTGGGAGACATCTAACTAGTATTCACTCAAGAAAAATTCCAGAAAGTATAACTATACATTTACAGACATAAACACAACTTTTAAAAGCCTTTTTGGTTATATTTATTTAAAAATTGGTGCTAGCTGGTCGATGTTTCTCTCTCATCGACGTTTCTAACTCTCTATCTCTCTCCTTTCCTCTCTGTAAAAACTCAATAAAATATATTAAAAAAAAAAAAAAATTGGTGCTGAAGTAATTTTAGTATTAGTTACATTAACACAGTAAATTGTCAATTAATGACTCCTCTAGGAAAACCCTTTCCACTTTCTAAACTCTGTACAAAGTTGCAGCCCAGCTGGAGTGGCTCAGTGGTTGAGCAACCTATGAACCAGAAGGTCACAGCTCGATTCCTGGGTCAGAGCACATGCCTGAGTTGCAGCTTGATCCCCAGTAGGGAGCATGCAGGAAGCAGCTGATCGATGATTCTGTCTTTTTCTTTTTTACAAAGCATAATATGCTAATGATATGCTAAGGCTATTCAACCGCTCGCTATGATGTACACCAACCACCAGGGGGCAGACAGTAGAACAGTCAGCCAGTGGCTATGATGTGCACTGACCATTAGGGGTAGACTTCTGACTGGTAGGTTAGCTTGCTGCTGGGGTACGGCAGATTGGGACTGAGCGAGATGGGTAGGACATGCCCTGGAGCCCTCTCGCAGTCCCTCCCAGCTGGCCAACCTCCCGTGTCCCTCCCAGGCCTCGATTGTGCACCAGTGGGGTCCCTCGGCTTGGCCTGCACCCTCTCACAATCCAGGTTGAGGAAAATCCCCTCCCCAGTGCACAAATTTTGTGCACCAGGCCTCTAGTCAATATTAATAAAAAACTCAGCAGCCTTGTCCTCCCAATATTCCAGAGCACCATGCTCACCTGAATTGGGGTCTGTTGGAATATCTCTCTCTGCCAAGTCCTGCTGATCCCACACGCACGGGTTCTCCTCCTGTTTGATCCGGGACAGGAGGTCCTGGGCAGAGGCTGGCGAGTCTGCAAGTGGGAACAGACCAGCAAAGGTGTCAGGGAACACAAAAATGCCCACAAGTCTTTGCTTTGAGTAAGTCTCTTACTACATGCAGTTGTGTCTTTTTCCTACAAATTGAGTGTAACTAACTTATGATAATTAATTAGAGGTTTAAGTCAGCTTGGCCTCAAATACTGGAGCTTTTGCTGCAAATAAGTGGATTCTATTGGGGAATGATGTAACAGTGACTTCAAGAGTAAGTCCTTCTGTGCTTGGGAACTTAACTCCTTAGAGGAGATTCATGCTCAGGTACTGAGTACTATGTACTGAGTACTGAACACCACCATAGAAGCAGCTATTCCTCATTTGGGGATTTTCCAGGAAAATCATACCTTTTATCTCAACCATTTTAGTGGGCTATTTCTAAGATGTATTCTACATCTCTTTTCTTCTTCAGAGGCCATCACACCTCTTTTACCCGTCACTACCCTCTCATCTCTGAAAGATCTCTCTGAAGACAGCATTGCTGTGGTGCCATGGAGGACTGCATGACAAGGGCTTTTCTCCACTCAGCCTCTGTTGTCACTTGCTTATGGATGTGAGGCTCTGACAAAGGGGATGAGGTTTGCCAGCTCCAATCTGTGGATTAGGAGAGCTGCCGTATGCTAACATATTGGGTGATGTCTCATTTTATGTCTCCTGGCCTTTCACACCACATTCTGTTGCTTGGCCTAACCTCTAAATGTTTCTTACTTCTTGCTCCCAGGACCTTCTGGGAACAGGGAAGTAATAAACAATGTCCAGATATATGGCCAAACATTCCAGAGGTTGCCGTGAAGGTATTTTTTAAAGATGAGATTAACACTGAACTCAGTAGACTTTGAGTACAGCAGATTACCCTCCATAATGTGGGTGGGCCTCATCCAATCAGTTGAAGGCCTTAAAGAAAATGCTGGCCTCCCCCGGGGAAGAGGAACTGTGGCCAGCAGACCAGGTCTCCAGCCTGATAGCCTACTCTGCAGATTCTGGATGTGCTAGACTCTACAGTCACAGAAGCTATGCCTTCAAATCAATCAATCAATCAATCTGTTCTCTTTCTCTCTACACCCACCCCCACACACACACCAACACACACCCACACACCCACACCCCCACATCCCCCCCACACACACCCTACCCACCCACACACACCCACACACACACCACCCCCCTCACGCACCCCTATTGGTTCTCTGGAGAACTTCAACACACATGTGCTCTAACAGAGTTCAGCTGCAATGCCATCTAAGAGGAACTCCCCAGACTGCCCCACAGGACTGCAACCGAGCTGGTGCCTGGAGGCCACAGCCCATGAATATCTGTATAAAACAGTGAACACTCTTCCTGGTCAGGAGCAGGTCTTACGGACCGACACATTCCCCCATCCACACAGCCTCATAAAGTGCTGCCCTAACCTCGCTTGTCAAAAGGAATAGTTAAAAACTGATCATATTACAAAGAACAGAGAAAACCAAACTAAGCCCAGATGTGCTGGCAAATCATCATGATGTGTGCCATGTCTGTGCCCCAGGGGGAAACCCTGTCTCTCCATCCATCCTGGACCCACAGCTCTTCAATTTCCAGCTCAGGCCCCTGGTCTGGCACACGTGGCAGACAATGCTGGGACCTGCAGACCCTGTCGAACCTTTCCTCTTCCTCCCTGGTGTGGGCGGCTGCTGGGCTCACTCACCGGTAATGGACTCCGTGGGGATAGCTCTTTCCTCCAGGCCCCGCTGACCCCGGACACACAGGGCTTCCTCACGCTTCACCTGAGACGCATCTTGTGCAGGCACCAGAGGTTCCGCTCCTGGGACATAAAATTATATCATTTAGTGTCTTTTTTCTGAATGACTGTCATCTGGATGTGCTCTTGGGGTCAGGAGCAGGGACGAGCACAGGGGATCTTGGGATCTTGCCAGGGATGAGCACAGGGGTCTAGGGATCCTGCAGGCAACCATGGGGAACCCCAATGAGCAGAAGTCCTGGGAGCAGAGACATTCAGGGGTTAGGCCAAGCAGTGGTTCTCAACCTGTGGGTCGCGATCCTTTTGGCAGTCGAACGACCCTTTCACAGGGGTCGCCTAAGACCATCCTGCATATCAGATATTTACATTAGGATTCATAACAGTAGCAACATTACAGTTATGAAGTAGCAAAGAAAATAATTTTCTGGTTGGGTCACTACATGAGGAACTGTATTTAAAGGGCCAGAAGGTTGAGAACGACTGGGCCAAGCAGCAAAATGTGGTGTGAAAGGCCAGGAGAGAGTTCTAGAAACAGCCCCACGCCGGGTTGGGTGCTAATCAGGACTAGTCTGACCTTCATGTAGGAGGAGTTCATTGATCCTGTTTGTCACCCGAGTCAGAAAGAGGTGGCCAGATATACACACTCATACTCCCATGCACCCTCTCACACAGGCATATAATTAGCAAGAAGTTAGACTAGGCAAAGAGCTGCAACCCAACCCCCCATAAGAATGCACAGCATAACAGACAGGACAGGACCCTGACATGTGACAAGAAGGCATTTTCCTCCTGCGCTGTCCTATGGCTTGACGTACCAGCCCCGGCAGGAGACAGCTCAGGCAGCAATAAAGAGATTAGAGGAGCAATCGGAACATGTGGTCCTGGTCTGAACTCTGCCACAACCCAGTAGATGAGTCACTTGACTTCTCTGGCTCTGCCTGCTCATCCCACCCATAAAACAGACACAGTGGTCCCTGCCCTACGGGCACACTGATGGGCCATAATGAGGAACTGTCACTGTGAAAGGCTGCCTCAGCCGCCGACCTCAGACGGTTGTAGGTTCTAGGTATTCCAGCCTAAGCATCTTTGCCACAAGCATTTTCACTGCACAACTAACAGGCCATACGGCAGTTTCAGCCATAATAGATAAAAATAAGAAAATATAAGAGAGACATAGAAAGGATGTAATAAAACATGAAAATCTAAGCAAATAAAAATCCCCAAAATAAACAAACAGAAACAGACTCATAGATACAGAGAACAACTTGATAGTTGCCAGAGGGAGAATGGGTTGGAAGGATGGTTGAAAAAGGTGAAGGGATTAAGAAGTACAAGGCAGGAGAGAAACCAAGATGGCGGCATAGGTAAACACCGGAAATTGCTGCCTTGCACAACTACTTCAAAAATAAAACTAAAAGACAAAACGGACTTCACCAGAACTACAGGAAGGCTGTCTGAGTGGAAATTCTACAACTAGAAGGAAAGAGAAAAACACACTGAGACTCAGAGGAGGTGCGGAAGTAAAGTGCAGAGGTATAGAGGCGCATGTGGAAAGGGATGGCAACTGAGGATGCAGCTGTCTTTTTGAATCGGAAGGGAGTCTCAAACTCTGACTGCTCTGAACTCCAGTTCCAGGTGAGTCTCTGGGGACCCAGACTCATACGGGGAGAAACTGGACTGTCTGGCAGTGGGCGGAACTTGAGGGCGGCTTTCTCTCAGAGGTGCTTGCAGCGATTACTGGGACACTGAGACCTGGGGCCTCTTAGGGTAGGACTGAGGATCAACCATAGCTGTTTGCTCCGCCCTGTTGATTCCCTGAGACCCTGCCAAACCCAAACTGTGCACAGAGGCCTGGCCCTTTGCAATCTGAAAATTACCTAACAAACTGCAGCTGGGTCAGAGAGACCCAGAACTTCCAAAAGAAGGCCTAAGA